CTTCTCAAGCTTCCGATTCTGGTGGAGTAACTCCCTGAGGGCATCTGAGGAGATACTCCCGGAGGATTCCAGCAACGACGCGGCCGCCGGTTTTCGTTTTTGCCATTTTGCCACGCTTGAATCTGCCAAGTGGAGAAACTTCAAGGGCGAATTTTGCAGCACGCTGACCTGCAGCTCCAGCTAGTCGTCTGTTAGGAACCTGTCCTCTCGGTGGAGTAACTCCCTGAGATAGCCCGAGGAGATACTCCCGGCAGACTCTGGCAAGGAAACAGCAGTCGGTCAGTGGCATTTTGCCGCGTTTGCTCTTCCCAGGCGAATTTTTGCACACAGCTGATTGAGTGACTCACATCAGAAAAGTGCCTGAATTAGCCAGTCCCAAGCGCTCACAGTTCAAACCTTCAGAGTCCAGAGTTGTTAGCACGGGGACGGGACTAAGTCGAGTCTTTCCGAGGACGACCTACTCTCGGCTTGAACCTCAGTGAGCATCGTTAGGACAGACGAGCAGCATCTGTCACTCAGGCATCGCAGTGGAACATGGTAAGCCTGCTGCCTTTAGGGGCGGGGCCTCAGCAGGTGCTGTGTTTAGGCACGGCCTGCACTATATCGGCGATGTCCAGCACTCTGCATTCTAGTAAGGTTGGATAGACAATCCAAGCTCTTGCTGTCTTTAGGGACGGGGAGCTGCCCAGCTTTGTACCAGTGAGTTGTATGTTCAGACAAAGAAAAGCCAAAGAGGTGGAGTAACTCCCCGAGGGACCGTAGCTTAAGCTGAGTCGTCGCGAAGCGAGGCTAACTAGCAGAGACAATCGAAGACTTTCCCGCTGCGAGTGAATGAATGCCGTTGCTGTTGCCGTTGCCGTTGCCGTTGCCGTTGTGGTTGTTGTTGTTGTTGTGGTTGTTGTTGTTGTTGTGGTTGTTGTTGTTGTTGCTGCTGGTTGCAGTTTCGGCATAGCCACGACCACTATCGCCGCACTACCACTGCAACTGCTACCACTCTCACTCGCTACCGCTATCACTAGCTACCACTACCACTACCAGTCACTACCACTACCACTGCCACACTGCCACTACAAGCACCACTAACTACTACCAGTGCCAGCACGACTAACACTACCCCTGCCACTACTACGAACACTACTGCTACTGCTACTTCTCCTCCTACTCCTACTCCTATTCCTACTACTACTACTACTACTTCTTCTTCTCCTTCTTCTTTCTTCGGCTACTACTCCTACTCCTACTCCTACTGCTACTGCTACCCTACTCCTACTCCTACTCCTACTGCTACTGCTGCTTCTACTACTACCACTACCACTGCTACTAGCGGTGTACTTCCCGAAGAAAACATGCACGGTGTGCAGGTTGGCTTGCAAAGCTGCCAGCCGCCGGTGTTGTGGCCAACGAAGTGCCTTGACCGATAGTACGACAAGACAGATGCATGTCAACATAAAAGCTGAAGGGGTAATATAGATGTTGCAACATCAAGCAAGACTACAATGACATGGAGTGTCAATCATTGCGGGCAGCCGTAAACCCAGGACGGCACCCATGATGAACACCTGTCGCTTCATACCCAGCCTCGCAGGATCAGCAAAATGCAGCTCGGCTGCTTTTGAAGTTCGGGCTCACTCGCAGAGGCAAGAATGAGTGCAAGATCTTGCATGTACTCTTCGTCGCTCAGGGTCACGGGAGGTCCTACTTGCGTCGCCAACTCCATCTTGTACGTGCCTTTGGCTGTCTGGGACAGGTAGAAGATCCTAGGCTGCTGTAGCATGCAGACACTGGCATCTCTGTAGGACTACGTCGAAGACTCTGAGACACCAGCGCCATTCGGGCTTTCAACCACCATGCGACCTGAGTTCACGGAAAAGCTGATCGTTTGGCAAAACCCGGCTGAGACCGCGACCATTTCGAGACACCTCCGGCCGGCCAAGCTTTCGAGCCTTGGAACGGAAGCTATGCTGCTGGAGCACTCGGAAGCAGCAGATGACAGTTTCAAGGAACTGACCAGGGCATCTTTTACCTGCCTCATGTTGGCACTGCCAGGGACACTGACAACCTCAAAAAAAAGTTCCGTCAGCAACTGCTCGCCACACGAAACCGTCGTAGTGGGATATCATGGGTGCAACCACTGACATCTGTGAAGACTTGCGACCAACTCAGGCTTGCACGACGGAATCCCGATCGGTGGGATGCGTGACGGTGACCTGAAGCCAACCACGCGGAGCTCTTACAAGTCTCTTCGACTTCGGAACCTTCGATGCCAGAAAGCATCAACGTGTGTGCCTGCACCTCCGCCTCCGTGACTGCAGCAGCTTCGGCCGCAGAAGACGTTTGCTTCATTGCTCCAGCCTATCGTACTGAAAGGGGTTCCACTTCTGGAATATGGAGTTCCTATAATCACAGCCTTGGATCCAAAGAGATCTCCAGGCTGAAATCGAAGCTGCCTGTGACTTGAATCTTTGACCGACCACCGTCGAAAATTGAAGTGAGGAGCGATCCTTTGTACTATCTCTCAGGCTATGCATGCCTCTTTTCAATGCAGTGCCATGACCGGTGTCACATCAACGACGGACGCCTCTCAATCTCCTCGGAGAGGGTCTTGATGCCGGGCTGTGCATGATGAACACGGATCTGGGCACGACAAGCACACAGGACGCAAGGATTGTGGTCCAGCTTGCAGGCTCTCGGGCGCCAACCGCTGCCAGCATCTCTGGAAATCCCCACTGGTCAATGCTGAAACCAGCAGCCTGCTTCGTAACAAATTGGAGAACCACATCACGGTGGGAAGGGCGCACCTTCAGTGGTGCTTTCCACGCCATTCCCAACAAGCGAGCCACAGCCTTGCCGTTCTGTGGGGCCAAATTCTCCGGAAAGGCTGGCTCCGACTGAACCGCCTCCCTTTTCTTCAAAGCACCCCATCCACGGCCGCGAAGATTGACAAGGGCCTTTCAGCTCTAACGTTTCAACTAACCTGGCAAATTTGTGGAGTCCTTCTGGAAGTCAGTGTGGGTACTGGCGGATCGCAAAGACCTGAGCGAACTTCGCTCGCTTGCGAACTGCCACGACTCCCACTCCACTCAGCTCCAGGCTCCAGCAGTGTCTTGGCCTGAGCTGCAGCCAGCGCGCATGATAGCAACGAAGCAACTCGGAGCTCCTGGGTTCGCCACCTCATGAACAGCGAGAGACTTGGGGGGACCTCTCCTGTGCAACTTACCCATGTAGAACGGTCGCCCAACTGATGTTGAATGCAAACTGCAAGCGTCCTGACGCGTGCTGCGCCCACTTGAATCGATGATTCCCTGACGATCTCTTTGTTGAGTGAACAACCGTCTGACACTGCTCATGGTGCAACCAACCACTTACTGCACATGCTTCGGAATGATTTTGCGCTCTTGTCCCAAACCTACTTAGCAGCATGACACAGCAATGACCCCGTTGGAATGACCTGGCTGCATCGGGCTGGCTCGACTGGCTGGCAGCCGCTGCCTGCTCCGGTCACGAATCATGTGACCGAAACCATGCAAACATGCAGTGTGAGGGAAGTCCTGACAGACACTACAGCGTTACACAGTCACCCCATGACTGCAACTTCGAATCTCACAACCCACCGGATGATGATCGAACGCAAGGTTCGTAGAACGAACATCAAACGAAACAAAAGGCTGTCAGATGGGTCCACGGCCTGACTGGCAGTTTTCTCAAATGCTGAAAATGCGCCGCGGCGTCGGCTCATGGGCCTTCAAAAGCACAAAAAAGCATCAAAGGTCACAACACCGACGTTGTGCATGATGCATTTGGCAATCACGCAAGGCTCGAATCGAAAGCATATCAACTGTGACTTAAGCGATTTCTTGTCAAACATCGATGCGACGACATGTAAACATTAACCTGCAAAAATGCCCCCGAGCCTCTGCACCACGCACAGCTATGCTTACATGGCCGTTGCATTATTGTTTCCTTATCTACCATGCACAAATTTGCATACCATCACGACTGGCTGAAGATTGAAAGCTCAACGTTTGTTCGTTGCATGTCACATTATACTGAATTATGCTACACAGCAATGCCATTGGTCCTACATGATTACGACTGGTCTTCTGAATGGGTGCTTCAAGACTTGATTCTGATGTTCGCTGTATGGGTCAGTATCTGAGCCATAGAACCACAACAAGCGCATGCGCGCCGTCACTGGGCAGCACGTGCAGATGGGAAAGCATCAACGGATGCACACAACCAAAATACATCAGCATTGCTCGTGCTTGCAATTCTCGACCTCTGGAAACTCTTCGCTTGAAAACGGAATAGCAAAATGCTCCTGAACAATAGATCCTTCACCTTCATATACCGTCCTTTGCGGCATGAATCAGGAGGACGGGCAAGCCGTCCTCTCCGACCTTTCCGGAATGTTGCAACCTCCTGCCAACCCATCGGGCAACCTTACATACGCAAACGAGGCGGAGTGTGTCAACATGATTCTCTATTCTGGCACCGTGTGGTTCGAGAACTGTTCTTCCGGAAACCCCAAGACGTGCTGTAATGTCTGGAGTGGAACGGAGACACGACCAAGATTCGCAGATCTGGCCTACAGCAAACGGCATCACCTCCGCCTCGAAGGCTCAAGGGCCAAACCGCCACAAGAAAACAAGAACGGCATTCATAAAACCCAACTAGAGTTTCGAAGGTACTAGGTGGATGCACGGGCCTGATGAATCTAAATGTTCAGCTGGCGCAAAATTGTCCAGGCAGCAATGTGTCAAGCCTGGCACAACAAGGCCGTCTGCTGCAGACGAACTCCTATCTCAAGAGTTGATTGGCAGCAGTAGCGCTAGTCACTGCTGTGGTGAACTAGATGACTCAATTTCTGGCCACGCCATGTAGGTCAAGCGTGCTAGGGAAACGGCAGCCTTCGCTGATTTGTGTTTCACTGTGCGCCACCAGTCGGAGGCAAACAAGCGTTTTCTACGTTGAGCTTCTGGTACTTGAGCGCATATGGTATAACTTTTTGGTTTAAGTTTTTGACTTGTGTCGTGCAGGTCCCTGTGCAAGTGACGTGCGCGTCCCTAACTCCAGACACACAACCTCTAAGCGAGAACCCTTCTACTGCGCATTTGGAAGAAAATTGTAACCTTGCACAAAGCTGCGCCAGAGATAGCAAAGAGTCCTGGCAAAGAGTTCGACGAAGACATGACAGAAAACGCATACCTTCTAGAACTGTTGGCTTGCAGAGCACGTCGGAACATGAGCAAAGGAAGCATGCCAAGACCGGATCTGTTTTCAAATTGAACTCTGCCGGTTCATCCTGCCTTTTGAGAACATGCGACCAAAAAAAACCAGATAGGAGCCACGAACCCGAATGCAGACACGCGCAACGCAGATATCGTCAAAAAAATAACTACAAGGAAAGGCATATTCATACGACCG